CCACAGGGTTTGATGCTTTCTCTGCTCTTAACATCTACATGAGGCTGCTGGGAGAGCTCATCTGTTGCCAATATAACCCGATTATATATTTCCATTCCTGGTGAGTTATGCAACGCTGTGCATATGTTATCCTAGCGTCTGAAGGCAGTGAGGGTCTAGGTGGGCAACAATGGGCTTTAGCTCAACCCTGGAAAGATGAATAGATTTGTATTTTGGGGTCCACTGATTCTAAGACTATACCATCTTTGGTACTGGATGGAGTCACACTACCCCAGGCAGACCTGTTGTGCAACCTGAAAGTCCTTCTAGCCTCATAACTCCTGTTTGATGAACTGATGGCAATTGAAACTACAAGGATCTTTGCACAGCTTTTTCTTGTGCACCAGTTATATCTGTTCCTGGATGGGCAGGCTCGGCTTACTGTCACTCATGCTCTGATCACCTTCACATTGGACTATTACAGTGTGCTCCACATGAGGACGCCCTTGTAGAATATCCAGAAGCTTCAGCTGGTATCGAACACAGTAGTGTGGGAAGTTATGTGTGTTCCTAGAACAGTGCATGCTACACCTCTGCTCCATGAGCTGCACTGGTTGGCAGTTTGCATGTAAGTCCAATTTAAGATGCTGGTTTTAACCTTTAAAGCCCTTCATGCATGGGATGGACTATCTGAGGGATCACCTCTTCCCACTTATATAAATCCACTCTATTAGACATGGTACAATAGTCATGTTGAGGGTTTCATTGACTGAAGAGATATATTTGTTGGGTCCCAAGAGACATGTCTTCTCTCCCGTGGTGCCCACCTTATCAAATATTCTCCCCCCCCCCTAAAAATTAGATCAGTTCCATCTCTTTTGATATTCTGAAGAGCCCTCAAGACCTGCCTATGTTATTAGGCCTAGAGTTCCTAGTCAAAAAGACATGCTTAGATGGCTCCATTGTTAAAGTGGCTATTTTTATCCTCCCTTCGCCTTTATCTTTAGCTTTTATGATATGTACTAATATGAATTTTTATATGTTTTTAACATTTGTTGTTTTCATCTGATTGTTGCGTGCTCCCCAAAGTTGCTGTTGGTGAGATGGGCGACTATATAAGTTTGATTAATAAATAATAAATTCTAAAAGGAATTCAAAGCAACCATTTTATTAGTAGCCCTCACACTATGGAACATGCTATCTCTACACATTCACCTGGCTTTATACCTCCCTGCATTCTGGGAGAGTCCTAAAATCATATTATTTCAACAAACCTCTGGTTACTAATATGATTGTTAATGAACATCAATGTGACTTTTAAAATTGATGAATATTATGTCTTGTGGAATTTGATTATTAGTGCCATTTTTTTCCTTGTGATTGCTCAGAGTCTTGAAGCAACTGATAAATATTACAAAACAATAAATAATGTCACCCTTTTATTTTACAAAATACATAGGATATAAAAATATTTTTTCTACCTGTTGTAGGAGGAACTTTACCAACATAAAGTACTGTTCCATATTCTTCATTACAGAGAATTCTTCGACCAACTGCATCAGAAGGAATGGTATCACTCATCAAGAAAAGCAGGTGAGTTCAGGATATTTCTTTATGGAGCTAGGGAAAGAATTAACAGTACTTTTGAAATATTATGCCACTCATGAAATTAATCACATACAGTACATTATATCTAGGTTCAAACTGAGCAAGATTCCTAGTGATTAAAGTCATGCCGTTTTTGGGTATTAATACATTATTCTGGGATGTTTGGTTTTACATCTAAAGGAACCTACTTCTTTTCTAAACCCAAGAAAGGTCATCCATGTACTGCCACCTACTGAGACAATAGCACATATACTTTACATCATCTACCTTAAGGAATTAAATCTGAAAATGGATAAAGAGCTTATTAAAAACCTAACAGCAAAATGAGTAAAATCTAGTTATCAAATAATCTTGCAGTAATTCCAAGAAACTGTATAGTAATACCTCTATCAATATTTGGATCTTTACAGGATAGCCAACTTATTGTCTCATGTAATAAGGATGAGGGTGAGTTTGCTAAAATTAAGCTAAAATGCAATTTTACTATGAATTACACCACAGCATAACAGGTACTGATTACTCCCCAATGTCTTGAAATGCAAGAAATTTGTCACATAAAGTATTAGCATTTCTGACGTCAAGAGCAAAAAAGAAGGGTTTTGTGGGTGTGCAATGTCCAAAGAACTTAATCCTACATCCCCCCCCCCTCCGGACGACCACTTCAATTTTGAATCCTGAATTTTTTTAACATCCTGCATTTTTTTTTCATACATAGAGAACTAAAAGTCTATGTTGTTTGAGGGCCAGTTGCAATGAAAATCACATTCCGTTTCTAGAAATCCGAATATCTTTAAAGAGAAAAACCAAGCCTCCCATCCGAATGAAGGCAAATATGCGTGTCACAAGATAATGTTGCAGGATCCAATCTAGGTCGGTCACCGGGACCAGAGGTTTTGTCTTCCGAGTTTTCGGACTCGTGCTGGAGCCCCTCTTTATTTAAGCACCTACTCTGCTAGAGAGAGGTGGTTCCCTGAAGAGGGGCTTCAGCACGACTCGGAAAGCTCTGGTCCCGGTAACTGAAAAAGACTGGATCTTGCATCCCATCTGAGTTTACAGCCTCCTGGAGACATAGCTCAGTTGCACACCGCTGACAGCGCCAGAGCAGGGACCCAGGGACGGTAGGCACGTCGGATTATAAAACAACAGAGAGCGGAGCAGAAGACTCGGGACTCACAGGAAGAAAGCAAAGACAGGAGGCAGGCACGGAAGGGACCCGCCACTCGAATAGAAGAGGCTGTCGAAGCAAACAGAGATTCAGCGACGCGGCGGCTTCAACCTTACCGCGGCCTCCTCGGCTTCCTCACCGGCCTCTGCCGCCTCACTCTGGTAGCGAGAAAGACAGGCCCCCACCCCTCCCGCCTAGACCACTCTTCCGCCCGATGGAGGGAAAATGCGCCACCGGGGCCTGTTGGCGCAGGCGCGAGCTCCTCCCCTCCTCCCGTTTCGAGAAGCCCTCTTCGTCTCTCTCTCCCCCTCCATTTTCTCATTCTCCTCTTCGCCCTCGCGAGGCATCTCGGGAGCTGTAGTAGCGGCGAAGAAAAATTCCCTCATAGACTGCGGCAAATGGGCGGGACAAAACCATGTTACCCAGAAGGCGCTACGAAGCCGAGTCTCTGTTTCCATAGAACTGGAGTGGGAATTACATCAGCGTTTCTGAGACACCGGCTAATGGCGATGGCGAGTAGGCGGGCCGCTTGGGTCGCGCGCCAATGCGAACCGGGCAAGGCGGGGGAGAGGGCGGGCGCCGGTGTGTCAATCACTCATCGGATCGGGGGAGGGGACGGAACAGCTTGGAGCTGAGCCGCTGCTGTCGCCGTCGCCACCGGGGCTCGGACGGGAGTGAGAAGCGTCCTCTTTGCGCGCCCTCCCTGTCTCAGAGCCAGGCCGGCGATCGCTGGAGGGACGGACGCGGGAGCGGGGCCCGGGCGAGTGGGCCCGGCGTCGAGAGGAGGCTCCGTCCTCCTCGCCCCCCCCCGGCAGGTTTGGGGGACCAGCGAGCGGGCGACAGCCGTGGAACAAAAGGTAACGTTGCCCCGGGGAAGAGGCTGCGGGGCCCCGGCCCTGGGCGTTTCGCGGAGCTCCCCGGTGAAGGCCGAAGCGGTTCCGCAGGGGGAGCGGAGAAGGAGCGAGCGAGCGACGCGCTTTTGGGATTGTTGTTTTTCTGCTCGGTTGAGGCGGCGGCGACGGCGGCTGCACTCGTCGCTTCAGATTCCCGGGAACCGGGACTTCCGAGTCCGGGAGGAGAAAGCGGGCAGTCCCGCGGCCGGCTTCGGAGGGAGGCGCTCGCCATCGCCGCCCCCGAGCGTCCCTTCTCCGGCTTCCCGACCAGCTCGGTTGAAGCAGAAGGAGCTGCGGCTGTTGCTGAAACTCCTACCGCGGAGTCCGCCCCGGGGAAAGGGGAGAGTGAGAGGGGCAGTTTGCGGGAAACCCCTCTCTGGTGCTACGGCTAATATTCCTTTAGGAGTTTATTTCATTGATGTGACAGTACTATAGGTTTCTCCTCTGTGCAAACGAATAACTTGAAATTTATGCAGTATTTCTGACAACTAGGATGGTTGCATAGTAAATATGCAAGCGATTGGGAGCCCAAGAATTCATGTTTTTAGCCAAAATCATTTTCGTATATACTCTTTTTCCTGTGGAATATACTTTGGGTAGTCCTTGACTTACAACCATTCCTTTAGTTGACCATTTGAAGTTACAACTGAAAACATGACTTATGACTGTTTTTTACAGTTATGACCGTTGAAGCATCATGTAATCAAAATTCAGATGCTTTGGCAACTGGTTCATATTATGCAGTGTCCTAGGGGTCCTATAAATCACCTTTTGCACCCTTCTCAACAAGCAGAGTCAATGGGGAATGGGGAAGCCAGATTCACTTAACAACCATGTTACTAATTAAACAACTGCAGTGATTCACTCAACAACTGTGGCAAGAAAGGTCATAAAATGGGACAAAACTCACTTAACTGTCTCACCTAGCAACAGAAATTTTGGGCTCAATTGTGGTTCAAGAACTAAACTAGTGTACTGTGACAGTTTACTAAGACTTTAGGATCTAATTTCAAGATGATTTCAATTTCAAGTAATTTCAAGATGAGAAAATAATTATTAAAACCAGAATATCATGCAATGTAGTGAATCAAAACAACTAATAGAAGTTTTAAATAAGAGTTAAATAATATGGGGAAATTCTTGGTCCACAAAACAAGTTTTTGCATTTCTGTCCAGAAAAGTGTTCCTTTGGCTAACAAAATCAGTATGAGCTAATTAACAGGGCTTTTCTGGACAGTGTTTATTATTATGGGACAGATATTCTAAAACATAACAACTTTGTAAGGCTGATAAATATTGAATACTTGAAAGCTGTAATCTTGGTAATTAAAACACAGCTGTTAATATAGTTTACCAGTTTATGATTTTCATAGTATGCTTTATTTCACCCACCAAATACTTTGGGAATGTACAATTTGTAAAACCATCATGTTCTCCAACTCATTTCCAACAAATGTTACAACATACATTTAAATACTCTGGATATTTTCCAATAACATGCTGCACTGATTATTATATTTAATGTACTTACTGCTTAATAAAATATTTAGAGATCTTTCTTTTTTTAAAAGCCTTCAGAACAAATTTGGGAGGCATTTAGTGAGGAATTATTTTAAGCTAGGCATTGGCAAACCATCAAACTCAATGCAGTTAATAAAGGGGACAAAAAAAACTTGACACCTGCCATGCTGCAGATCTACTATAAGCTGGATTAATTTTGCACTTGAAATGTTTCTTACTTTTTCTGTTAATTGAAAAAGGAGGGCATTTATTTATGAAAATAACACATGTCTTCATGAGTTAATTACTTCTCAGCTCATGAAATACGGTTTCCTCTTTCCACAGTATACTAGACTGGAATTTCAAGAACCAGTCACTCTTGAGCTTGTCTTTGTCTGTCTCCGGAATATTGGCCAGCTATATTTCTGGAATTGTGTTATGAAGACGGATGAGCTAAAAAGGAACAACACTCCATTAATTGGAGGAACTATCTTTAGGGATAGAGACAATTTAAATTTTAGGATTACAATGTTCAGCTATTTGACCTTGGTATCAATTTAGGAATATGACAGAATAGTAAGAACAATGGGCATTTTTTTCCAGCCAAAAATCTCGTCAATATTTGGGTAGAAAGATTGATAATGCTATAATATCATCAAAGTGATACTGGGTGTTTTCATTTGAGATTTTCTCCATGCTTTTTGGTAAATAATTTTGCTGAATTATTAAACTGCTACAATTCTGCAATATTATTGATGAGGAAGGATAGCTCTAGGTTGCCCATACCAACACTCTACCTAAGGAGGGAAGGGGGAGAGCGAAATATAAAATTATTTGATTTTCAGCCTGAAATAGATGCTAATTACAAAGGCTCTGCATTGATTTGAATTTCCAAAAGGTCCTTTGGGTGTGAACATACCTCTGTCTGTGGCTACATCTTTTCCCAGGATCATATAGTAAAGCATGATATTGGGAGAGTGAATTATAGAGTGATGCTATGTTTCTGCTCTTAATTTTGGAACTGAATCTGTAATTATATCACCAGCTATGTTAATTATAAAAAGTGGTTGCATTCCGCAAAATAGATACTATTTAACCATTTTTGTTGATTTGTATAAATAGCTGGTTTCATATTAGCTTATTTTTTAAATATGTAGAGTTTACCTAAGCATCTATATCAAATATATTTTTTACATACTGTATGTGTGTCAGTATCAGCCACTTTGTAGTGAGCAAAATCCAAGCCTAGCCAAAAATGAGGCAAATGGGATTCCAAATAGAGGTCGCATAAATGTAATACGTTATATTCATAAACCCACAAAAAATTAACATCAAAGATAGTAGTAAAATACCATTTAGCATAATCCTTTAGTTAATGGAATTATGTGTTTTAATACCTATTGCCTGCCTATATTAATTATACTATAAGGCTATCCTACATAATCCCCTCTATAAGTCAGATTTACCAGGTGAAATTATCTTGTCTTGGGGAGATAATTGATTACAGTTACCCCATTTTTTTTCTTTGCAATTACTTATTTTTGCCTTGGAATTAAGATTTTAGATCAACATTGATGTAGTTACAGGAAATGGGGTTTGGGAATGCATTGGTGTATTCCAGGTGTCTTCAAACTTGGCCTTTTTATGACTTGTGGACTTCAACTCCCAGAATTCCTCAGCTGGCTGAGGAATTCTGGGAATTGAAGTCCACAAGTCATAAAAGGGCCAAGTTTGAAGACCCCTGGTATATTCACTCAGAGTAAGATTAGTTTCCAGCAGTTTGAGAGTGTACTTCTTGAAGAAAAGCAGTACCTCATTTATAAACATTTTTCACTAGCTAATAATTTGATTATTAGGCACTAATTTGATTCCTTACTAGCTCTTGTTTTCCACATTTTCTAATATGTACAGTATATGAAATCTGAATATAGCTACCTTAACAGATAATACACACGAGTTTTCAGACTGCAGAGGGAAATTTCATGTGCCAATGGTATTACAGGTAGTCCTCCTGCAATTGGGACTCAACTCCATCATTAAACAACATGGTTGTAAAATGAAATGTCATGTGATTGTGCCAACTTATGACATCAGTTCTAGCTGCAGTTATTAAATGAATTACCCACTCATTAAGTTAATATCAAGTGACCATGACCAGCAACTCTCTGATTCCCCCCCCCCCATTTATTTGCTTGTTGGAAGCTGGCTGTGAAGATCACAAATGGTGATCATATGACTGAGGAATTCTTAAAACATCATAAATGCACATTGCCAAGCACCCAAGTCATAATCACATGACAGGATGCTGTGACAGCTATTGTTTGAGGACAAGGTGCAAAACCTCTTTTTCAGCATCACCACAACTTTGAATGGTTGCTGAATGAGTGATCAGTAAATGAGGACTACCTGTACTTAGCTTTAGCAGTAGGAATTATGTCAAAAGCCTTCAATGTAGCATTGTGTTTTTTGGGTACTACCATCCTCTTTCCTCTTTTGATATTTTCTCATCTTAAAAAAACTAGGTCATACTGCACTAGTTTTTGCTATGTGTCACATAATCAGAATTAAGTGATAATGAAATAAAATTACAAATCAAAATCATTGAGAAATGGGATTACAAATCAAAATCATTGAGAGATTTTGAAGCTATTTTAATTGACTTTTGTCACATGATTTTGTATAAGCAACTGAACATTGAAATTTCAAGGTACCATATTGTATGCACAAATCTTCAGTTACCTCTTAAGACCTGTTTCAGCATAATTCATATGAACAATTAGAGCAATTTCTTGATCCTTTCAGAAACATTCAATTGATAACTTTGTTAATTTTCATTGTCCTTGAACATTCTGCTTAAATGTTTAATTAATGCTGTAAGTTCAGGGTTGCCCCCAAGCAACCCAATTTGTTTATAAGCTTCAGCCTCAAGTTCTTCTAGTGTTTTCCGGGTATATTCAAAGGACCCCACATTCTCAAGGTAATGTACACAGTATTTTTTTATATCCACATTTTCAGTTCTCTGTCGCAGAATATTTTGAACCTGTGTGCTCTCTGGCCTTGACCATATTGCATGAATAGTTGGGAATGAGAACTTTCCTTCAGTTAGGTCTTCACAAAAGCTTTTGTTTTCACTATATTCTTTGGAGTGTAAATTTGCATAATCATCTCTAATTTGAAAGAAGAGCCCAAGAGTGTTAAGGAGTGGTTTCAAATCACTTTTATAACTGGAAAATAACTGCATAAGGCCCACGGCTAGTCCAAAAAGGCCACCTGTCTTTTGCAGAACCATAGCTTTATATTCTTCTTCCGTAGGACAGGTATATGTATCTCTCCAGTAAATATCCAGGCCTTGGCCCTTATGGAGTTCAAGTAATTGACGAGTGAATACTTTTACAGCATCTGGATGATCAAGTGTTAAAACCTTTTGTAGACCAAGGAAATATACAAAGTTTGCACAGTTTATCACATACGGTATTCCATAAATGCTATGGGCCACTGGAAAACCACGTCGTAGCTTTGAATTGTCTTCTATGTCATCTATAAGCAAACTTGCATTGTGCAACATTTCTGTAACTTCAATTATAATCTAATAAAAAAGACAAAACAGTTTTATATTGCTATTGTTCTTCTATATTTAGATTTCCTGATTATTTCAATTTTCATTTCTTCTTGCAATATGTTAATTCTCTCTGCTAATCAGGCTTTTAATTCCATCTTACTGACTGTGTCATTCCCATTGGAAGCACAAACCCTACTGTCTGTATTTCTATATTTTTGTTTGTCTAGAGTGGCTTTTTTAGTATGAACTTACACAATTGGCAACAGATGACCTATATGCACAATAACTCATAAATGAAAACAGATGATGTACTGTATATACATACAGATATCAAACGTAATACACCTGACTACAGAATTAATGTTTATGATATTACAACACACATGTAATGTTCAGTCTTGTGATTAAAGCATTTAAAATGTTTGAAAACAGCAATCAAGAAATGAATGCTTTGGCTTGGCATGCTAACCAAGTTATTTATATTCTTCATCAACTTTCTTTCATCATATTACTTACAGAAGAAGCAGAAATATATTTGATCTGACACATATGCCAGGAGACTTGAAGTAGAAATAGGCTGGGATATGTTTGGGAAAACTGCCTTCCTCATTGCATAGTTCAAATTAAAGTGCAAAGTAGGGGATGTGTTTCAAGAAATATTTGGCCCCTGATAAGCATTGATCAAGGTAGGCACCACTCATTTAGGTATTACATTAAGAACCCAAAATAAAAATGTTCGGAAAGCCCAAATTGCTCTTTTCCTTGCTAATAACATTCTGTTTCAATATATCACAATCTGAAGCAGTTGCACAGCTCAATATCTTGGTGTTGGCCACTACAGAGGTTTACCTATTACACTACTACAATAACTTTAGTTTAAATGTTTAGATACAAGCAGAACAAGAAAAAAGTAATTATATTTCCCTTTGTCTTTTTAAAAATTGTATTAACTGTCAAATCAGTTTAACTTATATAACTCACCTGTAGTTTGTCTTCTGGAACATTCAACCAGTGATTAAAGGCTTGAGAAAGTTTACTTCTGACCTGTTTACCTATGATTTTAAAAAGAACATAGATAATACTGTGCATTTTCACTCCATATAATTTATTTGTAATAAGCTCTAGGACAGTGATTCTCAACCTTTCTAATGCCGTGACCCCATAATACAGTTCCCATGTTGTGGTGACCCCCAAGTGGGTGTGGCCACCAATAAGAGGGAGTAGGACAGCTAGGGAAAAGGGAAAAAAATGGCGGACAGCATGGTTTGGCGACCCCCGTGAAATGGTCATTCGACCCCAAATGGGGTCCCGACCCACAGGTTGAGAACCACTGCTCTAGGAAATGTATTAAATGAATAGGGAGAGAGTTTTCAATCAAACTGCCTTGAGTACAAAATGTCAATATTTTGGAAATATTTCACACTTCAAACAATGTCATCAATTTTTATAATTTATACTATTGTATAACACCCTCTGTAAATATTCTGTCAGTTAATTTTAATATAATGTTAGACAATTAGGACTGATAATGCCGCACAGAATGAGTTTGACATTTTCGGAATAAAGACTTAGGTAGATGAACTACCAGTTTATTTACAGACCACACCTTATTATATTGTGTATCATCACCACTTGTCTTTGTTCACTCAGCAGAACTTTGCACAAGGCAGCTGCAATTCTTAAAACTAGCCAAATAATTGTAATTAGCATATTTTATCAGCATAATATTGCACAATATTTCCTATTGTTAACTCCAAAGCACTGCTACCAGAAAGCTGAAATTGGATCCTATATCTCTGGGCTTACCTGAAAATCTTACAGAGTGAAGTCTTTTTTTCCAAGGACTGGGACTCAAGGATTGCATTGATATCAACCTTTAATATCTGGAACTTTCCAGAAGCAAAGGACAGGAGAATTTTTTTTTCCTATACCAAGTTTAACCTCAACATTCATAAAGGGTAATTTTTATTAGGACAAACTCAAAAGTAAAAAAAATAAGCTTTCAAGAATTCTAGAGCTTTTCAGGAAGCTACAAAAAGCAGATAGGAGAGAAAAATCTGACTTCATATAGAAATCTGTAAAGCTACAATTGCTGAGTAAAAAGATTAAGATCTTAAAAGCAAACTGATTAACACTTGAGTTAAAAAAATTATTTGCTCTGTTTTTCTTTTTTTAATATCCTTGGGGTTCGTCCTGGTAAAAACAAGCAAGCACCGAAAGAGCAATTTCAATCCCTGGCTACTCTCTTCACCCATTTCTGTTGCTTGGTCATCACAAAAAATAAAGTTAAAGTCTATGTTTATATTTAATGATAAATGCAACTATGTTATGGCTTTGCATGGTGATGTGTATACCAAGCTATTACAGTCGCTAATCACTATATTAATGCTTAAAATTATATTCATACGATATTAGCTCTAACTCAAACATGAATTTTTCTTTATTTTGCTAAGTAATAGACAAAATGTAAATTAAAATTCCAGTCTTCAAAGCATTTTTTGAATACCCTCTCTCTCCAAATACCCCCCCCACACACACACATAGTAATGTCACTGATTTTAAATGAAAGATTAGGTATTGATATTTTATTTTAAATAACTGAAATTAGTATTTAATCCATAATTTTGACTTTAGTCAAGCCTTATGCAAAACACAATGGGTGCATTCATATATCCCACTAAGCCATAGTTCATTAACAAAATGCAACTTGGTCAGTCTGTACAACATCCTAAATGAAAGCAATTCATATTAGGCTGGGTTCACACAATACACAAAGCAGTTTAATTTTTTGCTTACCATATGTAAGTGATCTGCAAAAAGAAACTGGATTTTTTAAACCACTATCTGATCCCATGTTTGTTACTATCATTAAACCCAGAATTTTATTTTTGACTTTTGACAGAAAAAAATGATTCAACCATTATCAATTTACTCATCTGTAAGACAAGTTGATTTGCTCAAACCATTGTTAAAACAAATCCTGGTTTATATGTTAAGAGGCATATAATTACAGAACAAGGCTATGTAGATTGAAAACAAGAGTACAACATGATGATCAGGTACAATGGGAACAAAGTGAAGGCTGATTTGGGGAATAAATGAAAAATGTGTAGCTCACAAATCGAAGAGATTGCTATGGCTATCCCAATTTATATATTTTCATACATCACTAATATTCAAACAATAAGATATTACCAGGGAGCTGAAGCAGGTAGTTGTATGGCTCTAAAAAAATTCTCTTGGATGAATCTTCTAGTTCCTCCATTTTAAAAATATGTTTCCAAAACAGTGCCTTAGTCTGAAGAAAGAAAAAGAAAGGAAAGAAAAAGAAAAAAGGACAGATTATAGATTCTTAAAATATATGACTGTAGTAATAACATATGATGTAGGCAGGGGAAACAACAGAAAATGTTGCAAAGTGTGCCAATATAGAAGTGGCAGGTACTTCTTTGAAGTATTTATGATGTCATTTCAAGTAACCATTAAACACACTATTCAAGATCAGCCAATCACCATATTACTGAGAAGATACTACAATGAAAATTTTATGAGCATGTACCTATTTATATACTAATAAGTCTAATAATAATTTCATAATCCAATACCTCATCCTTCAGATTGAAATATTGCATATGGGACACTTAACATTCTCAGATGTTTTTTTAGTAGAGTTTTTGTTTGAGCTTTATCTCTTTTTTCCTTCTCTCTGAAGGCATCTTACTGCACTGCAGCTGCTGTGCACTAAAACAATTTATCTCAGGCAATTTAAATACAGAACCTCTAGTCATAATATGGCATGTGCCAATCACACACACACACACAACCAAACTAGTAGTTTCCTAGCATATAATTTCTATTTCCCAAAAGTTTTACTTAGTTTACTTAGTTTTATATAAAGAGAATAGTATATACTATTGCAGCATTTTAACTAATAAAATGACCAGATTAACAATCTACTCTAAATTCACAAAGCATCAGAATCCATGTATTGAAATGAAAACCTGAACTGATAAAGCCTCAGCTCATATAAATGCACTCTAAATTAAGCAGGTATCGAATACGGAATTCACAAAAAAATTGTAAGCCAAAATTAAGTGAACCAGAAATTAACACACGATGAGGCCAATACAAGGGTGGGGCTACATACTTGGCAGACGTTTTTATAAAGTAATTGCAAATTTGTTCAGTCTAAATTTCCATACCTGCCGATATGACTTGAGAAATTTCAGCAGGATTTGAGCTGTAGTTCTCCATGGAATACTGCTGAATACTAGTGCACAGAATAGTAAACTAGACTGAGCAATCAAAACAAAACTATTAAACAGAAAGAGGAAGTGGTACACTTATATACAGTACTGCACTGTTCCCTATAGTCACTGGGAGTCAAATGGAAGCTATAGTACAGGTAGTCCTCTACTTACAGCAGTTCACTTAGAAATCATTAGAAGTTACAATGGCACCGAAAAAAGTGACTTATAACTGCTTTTCACACTTACAATTGCAGCATCCCCATGGTCACATCATCAAAATTCAGCTGCTTGGCAAATGCCTCTTATTTATGATGGTTGCGGTGTCCCAAGGTTATGTGATCACCTTTTGCAACCTTCTGACAAGCAAAGTCAATGAGGAAGCTAGATTCACTTAACAACCATGCTATTAATTTAACTGCAGTGATTCACTTAACAACTGTGGAAAGAAAGGTTGAAAATGGGGCAAAATCACTTTAACAACTGTTTTGCTTATTAACAGAAATTTTGGGCTCAATTGTCGCAAGTGTTGAGGACTACCAGTACTGTATTTTCAAAGCTCCCATGGTTTGTGAATATTCTTTTAAAAATTATACCACAAACTCTATACTGACTTGTGTAATGAAAAAAATATCAGTTTATTAAACTACTGAAATCTTAAATAAATTTGACATTGACTGCTAAAATAAAATTTCAAACTTCCTTAAGAATTTGACAGTAACCAATTAAACCTTAAGTACTTAATCCTACTTTATCTTTCTGTTTTTATAATTAAGAAAAAAATAGGACAAGATACATACAGTATTTCCCTTTCACAATGAAGTCTTAATTTGTTTTCTTAGGCATCTTTATCCTACAATTTAAAAATGTGAAGAAGTCCACCAAGAAATGATTCGATAATGTACTTAACTAAAAACATTGTATCAATATAGCCCAAAATACGCTTTAGAAATTTAATGAAAACGCACCAAAAGACATCAATATTTTAACTGGAGCTGATCTTGCGTGTAGGAAATAACGAGACTTTGTACTTAAAAGAAAATCCACAAAATAGATCCTCGTTTTTTCTTTACACTAATCAATACTTCAGACTGAACAATAAAAGCGATTACACCTCCCCCAACATATATTAAACAATAAAACTGGCAAAGGAAGAGGCAAAAAAGCTCTTAATTTACATTAAGAGAGAACAGCCTGTCATGAACATCGACCGATCCCGGGAAGCCGGCAGTCACATTTGCACATAAGAGCCGCCCCCTTTTCCTGCCAGCTCAAGCGAAAACACCGAAAGAGGAAGAGGAGGCAAGCAAGCGCGCCAACACCCTCCCCGGCTGTTTACCAAGAGGTGACTACTCTCTCTCGTCAAGGACCACCGCCTTTTTCTATTGGAGCGACAGAGACCTGATAGGAAATAGAGCGGGGAAGCACTGAAGGGACCCGCCACTCGAATAGAAGAGGCTGTCAAAGCGAACGGAGACTCAGTGGCGCGGCGGCTTCAACCTTACCGCGGCCTCCTCGGCTTCCTCACCGGCCTCAGCCACTCCTCGGGCCGCCTCACTCTAGTAACGAGAAGCGCAAACCCCACCCCTCCCGCCTAGACCGCTCCTCCGCCCGATGGAGGGAAAATGCGCCACCGGGGCCTGTTGGCGCAGGCGCGAGCTCCTCCCCTCCTCCCGTTTCGAGAAGCCCTCTTCGTCTCTCTCTCCCCCTCCATTTTCTCATTCTCCTCTTCGCCCTCGCGAGGCATCTCGGGAGCTGTAGTAGCGGCGAAGAAAAATTCCCTCATAGACTGCGGCAAATGGGCGGGACAAAACCATGTTACCCAGAAGGCGCTACGAAGCCGAGTCTCTGTTTCCATAGAACTGGAGTGGGAATTACATCAGCGTTTCTGAGACACCGGCTAATGGCGATGGCGAGTAGGCGGGCCGCTTGGGTCGCGCGCCAATGCGAACCGGGCAAGGCGGGGGAGAGGGCGGGCGCCGGTGTGTCAATCACTCATCGGATCGGGGGAGGGGACGGAACAGCTTGGAGCTGAGCCGCTGCTGTCGCCGTCGCCACCGGGGCTCGGACGGGAGTGAGAAGCCTCCTCTTTGCGCGCCCTCCCTGTCTCAGAGCCAGGCCGGCGATCGCTGGAGGGACGGACGCGGGAGCGGGGCCCGGGCGAGTGGGCCCGGCGTCGAGAGGAGGCTCCGTCCTCCTCGCCCCCCCCCGGCAGGTTTGGGGGACCAGCGAGCGGGCGACAGCCGTGGAACAAAAGGTAACGTTGCCCCGGGGAAGAGGCTGCGGGGCCCCGGCCCTGGGCGTTTCGCGGAGCTCCCCGGTGAAGGCCGAAGCAGTTCCGCAGGGGGAGCGGAGAAGGAGCGAGCGAGCGACGCGCTTTTGGGATTGTTGTTTTTCTGCTCGGTTGAGGCGGCGGCGACGGCGGCTGCACTCGTCGCTTCAGATTCCCGGGAACCGGGACTTCCGAGTCCGGGAGGAGAAAGCGGACAGTCCCGCGGCCGGCTTCGGAGGGAGGCGCTCGCCATCGCCGCCCCCGAGCGTCCCTTCTCCGGCTTCCCGACCAGCTCGGTTGAAGCAGAAGGAGCTGCGGCTGTTGCTGAAACTCCTACCGCGGAGTCCGCCCCGGGGGGAGGGGAGAAGAGAGGAGAGGAGCAGAGCGAATCTGGGGGGGGGAGAGCGAGAGGGGCAGTTTGCGGGAAAAAGCGGGGAGCCGCGGCTTGGGACTCGAGATGCAGCGAGGGGGACGCGGAAAAGAAGGAGGGCAGCTTTATCGAGCCGCCCCCATCTCCGCTTCTTGTCCCTAGTACAATGGAGAAACCTCCCCTCCCGCAGGGATGTGAGTGTGTGTGCGCGCGCGCGCCTGGGCGAGAAAGCACCTCAGTCCGGACTGGACACCTCTTGACCTATCTCGCTTTCCCTCTACTTAGCCCCAATTTGTTCGGGGATAGAGATCCCGCCTAGCCAGCCGATGGTGAAGAGCTTGTTCCCTCTGTGGCGGTGCCCGGAGAGTCGCTTGCATGGAGGCAAGCGGAGGGAGGGGGGGTTGTTAAGAAGCGGTTGTTGTTGTGGCAAGTTTCTGCTCTGACAGAAATGGCGTCAAAGGCAGCGGGTGAGGGGGAAGGCAGCCGCGGGTGTGGGGCTCCGAGAGCAGCGGCTTTTTGTGGCTGGAGCGGAGAGGCGGCGTAAGAGAAAAGGGGAAACTGTGGGGAGGGCATCGGAGAGGTAATGGGAGACTAGGGGAGAGGTTCCTGCAAAACGGCCCCCTCCCCACACTTGCAGAGCGCGCCCCGTTGAAAAAGGGGGATGGTGCGGTGGCTCAGTGCTTTGTTTTAAATTTCAGGTCCAGCCTTGGCAGCACATTCGCTTTCGGATTTTTCTGCTGCAGCCTGAGTTCATCATGAAGGTAAACCCCCTTATGGGAGGGGGGGGAAAATGGGGCGTCGCGGAGGGTTATGTTTCTCCGAGCTTCACTCCCTGGTGTGCGTATTGGAGCCGTTTTCAGTTCCAGCCTGCGGATTATTTTCCTCCCTTTAGCTTTCAGGC